CCCCAAAACCCCAAAACCCCAAAACCCCATAAAGTATCATTTGAGGATATTAGGCTAACTTAAAATATGATATAATAAACTAAGATATTATCTTTTGGATAGAATTACCTGCAAAATTTAAGTGTCGATGCTTATTTAAGTGATTGCTAAATTAAGTTAATAATTTTAAAGTATATTGAGAATGAAAAGAGCTTCAGGACAAGAGTATGAAAGATGGGAACTTTGCGTTAAGGCTGGATTGAACATCAATCAATATGTGGGATATGCTAGGGCTTAGTTCTTTGATGACAACAGGAGATTCGTAGTTGTAAAGGCAAGGGGTTAAGCCATTGAGAATGCTTTAAAGGTTGTTCAGCTTGTTAAGGAAAACATGGGAGATATTCACTCACAAAGTAAACTATACTTGATGGTTGATTCAAAGTCGTTTGGTCATAACAATGCTAGAGGCAAATCTTCATAATCCAGAACTAGAAGCAGGGGTAAGTAGGTGTAATTTACTTCAGACATTAATCCTGAGGAAGACGAAGGATTCAGTTCTCATGACACCATCATTGAGGATTGGGAGAAATACTCAAAAGATAAGTACAAAAAGCAGCTAAGAGTTTTGCCAGCTATTGAAGTTATCTTATCTAAGAATGTCATCAATCAGAATGATCCTGGCTACTAGAAACCAGCTATCAGGATTTAAACAATCTTTCATGGTACATAGGTTTCTAAGGTGAAGAAAAGTTAATCCAAGCAAGAAAAGATCATGAGAAGAAGAAATCTCAACAATGAATTCTTTTTTAGTAAGAAGGAGGTATCATCACCATCTAACTCTGGCTAGTCTAGCAAGGGCTTTAAGAAGTAGAAAATCTACAATAGTTAGGAGAGCTTCAAATCATTCAACAGCAGCAGAAACCAAATGGAGAGTAAGGAGAATGTGAATCGCAGCAATACTTAATTCTTTCAAGATGAATCCATTTTTGGTAACTTGACAAATAATTACTCTTAGTTGTCAAGGTTTTCTCATCCAAATCAAGCCGCAAATGATTTCTAGCCTTAGAGGAGATTCAATGATCACTTTGACAATGGCTAAGATTTGAATGGAGGGATTAAGCTTCAATCTACCATGAAGAGACTAGATAGACATAGATTCAGTGTAGACAAGTAACTTGGATTGAGTCTTTCTGAACTTGAGAATAGAGGTGGACAGAAGGAAAGAAGTCAAGATAGAAGAATGATGCTCAATGGTCCTATAATGAGAGGATCTAGCAAGCATGCTAGAGCTTTTGGCAAGGAGAATGAGGAGAATTATCAGGTCAAGAAGCTAAAGAGAAAATGATTTCATTAAATTTTTAATTGTTAATTTATTAATCTTGATTTTAATATCTTAAACTTAAACCTACTCTTAAATATTAATTTATATTAGCTTTTATCTCTTTTCGATCTTATCTATTTTTAATTTATTAATTTTTCCCTATAAATTGACTTTGATCTATTAAAGATATAATCTATTAAATTAATGAACAAATTTTTAGACAACCAAATTGGACTTATTGACAGAAAATTCATCATCAATATCAAGAATGAAGGTAGCTTTGCCTCCTATTCTAAAGTAGCTCACAGACTGCTAACAGAGGAAAGGGCTCCATAAATCTAGTTATCTGCTTGCGGAGCTGCTACCTTGTATCTTTTTAAAGTCTCATCAATTCTCACTGAATTTTTTCCTAACTTGCACAGACTGACATATTTCAATTTTTCAATTTGCCATACTTGCAAATAAAGAGAGCTGAAAATTGCTGCCAGAAATTTAAAGAATTAAGGAGAAGATCAGACTCAAGATAATAATCTTCTCTAAAATGAATATAGATTAGAAGCTCTAGACCTAAAAGCTAAAGATTAGGCTAACTAAGAGAAAATCAAAATGATTGTAGAATTTGCAGATAAAATTAATGTAAACAATTTGAATTTCGCAGAAATAAGAGACTCTGATTAAAACACCAAGCAAAGTCCTACTTCTCTACAGCACTAATGCAATGATCCAAACTCTTTTTCATTGCTCATCACTATGAATCAAAGATTGACATTTCATGATGGAATACTAGACAAGTAGCACCCTGGCTATTAAAAGCCAAATATTCCTCTCAAAAGTAAAAAATCTCTAATTGATCTCATAAATGAATTCAATCCAAATGAGACATTAGATAAAGTTGACTATGATTATTCAGATCGAAGCAACCACTCATCATCCTACAAATCACCTTAAAATTTTGAAAAGTTCTAATCCTCACCAAGCCAAAATTACTAAAGACCTAAAGAAAACTCTCCAATTTAATACTATCAGCAGTTCTATCCTCAGAATCAGATTAACTCAATCAAATCTAAAACAGATCAGAATTAAGATTGTAGAATTTGTTGCTAGACTCCTCCTGTACCCTAAATTCAAAATTGCTGTTCAAACTATACTTCTTGCTAGATTTATGATGAATAGAGATACTCTCAATACCATTATTCTCCCAATGCTGCACCTCAGCAAAGATTCCCTTGCAATGAAGGGTCTCATAACTTCTAAAGTAAGAGCTACTTATATTAAATTTACATCTAGATGAATAATACAATTATATGAATCAGCAGCATTCTTAATATCACCATTATTCTAATCCCTCATATCATAAGCATCATCTAACAAGAGAGTATTTTAACTATTTTATATTTCTATAGATAAACAGATTCTGGATTTCAAGAGTAAGAGTACAAATCATCAAAAACTTATTAATAAACTCCCTCATTCTGCTCATAAGGTTATTTGAACTAGGGTTATCAACAAAAGCCATAATTCAAATAATCTAGATTTGATTAAAAGAACTCACTTTAGTTAAAACCTTCTTTTACAAAGAAGTTTGTAGATTATAGCTCCTAATACTAATTATTCCCAATGAAATCTGTTGACAGTCAGAAGTCAAACATTTATTCAACTCCTGAACACTAAAGATTCTACAATAGTTCTCAAAATCATCAAATTGACTTTCATCCTTACTCAAGAAATATAAATTTTAAATACTAAGGTCAGAACAAATCAGATGAATTCAAAGCACAGGCAGAAGGATACAGAAGTACAAGGGATTGGTAACCAAGAAGCTACATTTGAAAGTAGTATAATAACTTTCAGCATATCTCAAGTCTTTTTTGAAATTTATATTATTAAGTGAATAGCTAATTTCTTTAATTTTATATTAACTATTAATTATATTTATGATTATTATTTTTAAATTCTAGCTTATGGGGTTTTGGGGTTTTGGGG